CATGAGTACAGTGAGGAAAATTCATCTCAAAGTCTAAAAGATAGTTGAACTAAACACTAATCCAAATACCGGCTCTACAAGTCACCTATACAACAAATAGGTACCAAGCCTTAATCTACCACTTAAATTACTCAATTTGACCTAAAGTCAAAGTTGATCAACGTCAACGGTCAACTTCTAGTTGACCTACTCCATGCGTACAAGATGCTCTATGCCCCACGTAGAGCATAAGGCTATAAAACAGACAGAAAGGAGGCTACATGTAACAATTGGGAATTTTACGTCATCAGTTGTCACTAAAGACTGGCATCAATCTTTTTCATATTGAAGGAAAATATGATCAGTTAAATGATAATAATAGAGTAAAAAATGAGTGACCAAAAAGTTATATCAATTTTACGATGGTTAGTGTATTTGGAAAGTACACAACAAAGTGATCCCAAGGATATAAATGTTGCAAAAATCTGACTCCGATCGGAGGAGTTATGATTTTATAAAAGATAAAAATCAACCGCGTTAATAACGCTATTAACGCCAAAATAGCATATAGAGATCGGTTGAGTTTCGACTGACGTCGCCAAAAGGAAAATCGTAGTAACCCGTAAGATAAGGACTTGGAAAGGAAAAAGGTCAAAAAAGGAGTCCGTATGAAGGAGATATGATTTTTAGAAAAGTATAACTTACGGGTTAAAAATGAAAGTCATAATTTGACAACGCGACATTTAGGAAAGTTGTAGTACTAGTAGAGAGCTACACAAATATATAAAGAGGGTAAGAAACAAGATTCATATAAGGAAGATATGAATTTTTATAAAAGATTTAGGGGTGCATGCGAAGTTCGCGTCATGCCCGTCGCGCACACCTGACACCCAGATTCGTCGAAGATTAGGGAGACGTGGACCATCAGAAGTATGAGACGTGGCAAGCTGTGGATGGAGCCACGAAGCGAGTACACGCCGCGCATGAAGTGCGTCGCGCGCACATTCACTATAAATAGAGGTGCTCACTTTTTGATTTTCTCATCCCAAAGACTTTTCCAAACATTCTCTCTATACCTATCAAATTGTTTCGGAGACCCTCTTGATGACGCAAAGCTTCGGATGCAATGGCTCGGATGCTTCAGAATATGAAACTGGATACCCTTTTACTATTTTAAATGTTTTACGAGGGAATACATGCCTATCAAATGGTTTTATCAAAATACATTTATATCTATAAATATCAAATTATTTTATAAAGCTTAAAGCCTTAGGATAATGTAGCTATTGATACTATGCCTAATTGTAAACTATGATATTACGCCTAAGAGATATGATGCCCGATAGCCTAGGAAGAGATAATACCTAGATGTTATAATGGCCAAATCCCTAGGATAACGTTGTACCTTGAAGTTATGTTGGTCAAATATAAGTATATGCAATGTACTTAGTAGTTACTCTGCCCAAATATCTTGTTTTCAAATAACCATAATTAGGGTATGTATAAGGATACTTATATATACAAAATAATTATGAGATAAAAAGTTATAATTATCAAATATAAGATAAAAGATTTATGTTGTGATAGTTATAGGAAATACCTAGGAAGGATAAAAGATAAAAGATAAAAGATAAATACCTAAGGTCAATGAGTTAGTGAGCTGTTAATATTCATCCAAAGGCCTTGATTAAATTCGGCATTCCCCGATACCTATAATCATTAATCTTGCGAGATTTAGAAAGTTATGTATAGATCTATACGGGGTCTGACAACCCCACATGCGATTGCTAGCTACAATCCCGACATGATAACTTTCTTATTATTCATTATTCTACGTCCGATGAAGCATCGTGGCGGGGCAAATTATTAGTCAAACAACGTCGATTATAGGGGCTCATGGTAATACATTAGATCACCTTAGAGATCAGACTACCATTAGGGACGCCTTCTAATGGTAAATAAAATACGTTAGGATTAGATAAACATCCTAGAGATAATAAGATAGGATTGTTAGATATCCTAGAGATAATAAGATAGGATTAATAGATATCCCAAGAGATAATAAGAAAGGATCGTTAGATGTCCTGTAAAATAGTAAATTCGGATTAATAAATATATCCAAAAAAAGATAATAAGATAGGATCGTTAGATATCCTAAAAGATAGTAAGCAACGGTTGATAAAATACATTACGAAATGTTTTTCTAAAAGAAAAGGATTCTTAAATTAATTCAACCAAATAAAAGCCAAAAACTATAAAAACGTGTGCACTCACCAACATCAAGTTGACGTTTTCAAAAGTCGCATGTGTTCCTAGGATGGAGTAGAGATCAAGTCAAGGACGGATTATCAACATGAAGACTTGTAGATTTTTCGTTTAAACATGTAATTATGATTGGCTCTCTGTGATTTGGGAAATATTTATACTGTCACCACTCAACATTTTTCGCTATCGGTCGGGGAGGGTGTGACACTACGTGCTATGTAGCCTGATTTACGCCATGCGTAGGGCGCTGATTCCATAAGTTCTTAATACAGAAGGACACCACATTCAATTCTCATGTATGGACCTAATAATTGTCCTAAATTATAAAGTTCTAATCTTTATGCATTTGCATGGCTTACAAGGGCTTAAAGGCAAACCCTAACCTCATGACAACTTCTAAAGTCCAAAAACTCATGCGGGGATGGTTGGAACTAGCCAAGATCCCATTTTTATGACTTAACACCCTCAAATACATCTGGAAATGCACTCTACAAGGTCTAGAGTAGCTTATACTCAAATGGACCAAAGTAATGGGACAAAAAGGGTATAAACATCAAGAACCTAGTTAGATTTATCAAAGGAAGTATAAATGTGTAAGCTTTATACCTTCTTGAGATCAATGAGAGCCAAAAGGTCTTAGATCCACAAGCTTGAGCACTCCAAGTCTTAAACAATGGGGTCTTCATTCTACAAAGTGCACCAAAATAACACACAAGGACCTTAAATATCACTCAAGGGAATTAGGGTTTTGAGAGATGTGCAACAAGGGGTGGATGATGATGATGATGAGAAGGCCCTCAAGGGGTTAGAGACCTTAAATAGGGCTCACAACCCCGAAAATCAGGGTTTTACAAACACGCGACTACACCCTACGTAACTAGCTCTATGCCCAACGTAGAGCATTTAAGTTCCATGTTCAGCTTTCCTCCTACGCACTGCGTAGGAGGCTGTCCTACGCCCCACGTAGGACCAAATCACCCAAATCTTAAGACTTTTCAATAAAAGGTAAATGAAGCATACCTGTAAAGATCGGGTGTTACAAGTGCTTAACCAAATTTGGATACAATCACAACTCTTTTTGGCTTTATTGTTAAAAAAATCAGTACTTAATTATAAATGACGCTTTAAAGAAGAATGTAAAGACTTTAAAGAAGATTGTTAGCATTCGACTTTTAATACTTACTCTAGGGCGTGTTTAGCAACGAGCTTTTAATAGATTATAGCTTTTAACTTTTAACAAAAAGCTCGATTTAAATAATTATTTTGTGGAGTACGAACTTTTAGCATTTGCCATTTAGTTTAAACAAAAAATTTCTAATCTAAAAGTTACCGCATGTAACTTTTATGAAAAAGCTACTTGAGTTTTTTAATCAACTTTTTGAACTATTTTATTTATTTATTATATTTCACATTTAACTTCTAGATGTGTGTTTTTTTATATAATTTTATATATTTCAAAAGTTTTTTATTTACTTTTGTCAAACAATTATATAACAAATAAAAACTACAACTTCCGGTTACCAACTAATTTTATTTAAAATAAAATAATAAATAATAACTAACTTTACAATGAATATTGATTGCTTATATTTTAAACCTCTTTTGTATTTTATATCAACTTGATGTGTCATTTCATAGTTTTTTTAGAGGAAAAATACCTATTTTATTTTGAAAATGTGACATTACAAAACGATGATAAATCAATTTAAATACGTAGCTTAGGAATATGTGTAGTTAAATATGATGAAAAAAGTGGAAGCTACAAAATAATTTGTATTATAAGGAAATAACTTTCATCAAAAAGTTAACGGATCAAATTTAATAGAAATAATCATAAAAAATAAAAAATATCGAAATAATATTTTTCTATAACTTACTATGAAGTTGGTGGCGGTCGATGGTTGGGCAGCAAGAGTAGAGAGGAGGTGTCAGGGCAACGACGATGGAGGTAAGCTATTACAATGAGGTGAACATATACAGTAATGGCGGTGGGAAGGACTTAGACGACCACAGTGGTGGTGGTGTGATGTCAACAGTAGAAAGACAAGTTGAAAAATGTATTGTTTGTCCTTAAAGTAAGATGAGAGAAAATAAAATCACATCTAAGATAAAATAAAGATTGATTTACACTTAGTAAAAACCCACACTCGTTTTTTTGTTAATTACCATTTGTTTTCTAATTTTTTTCTTGTACACACAATGAGGTCAAAAAAAAAAAAGGAAAGAGACGGATGACTCAGTCAAGAGGTTGGAAGTTATCAAATGCTGGGGTAAAATAGATAAAAAGGAAATGTAGTATTCATAATTGGTATTATTGACTAAAAGCGTCAAAGTGGTCAAAAAAAGTTTGGCAAAAGTCTGAACATAAAAACTTTATTATTTTTAAGACCATTGAAAATTAATTATATACAATGTTTGTAAAAATAGATTAGAAATTATTTGTATTTATAATCTTGCCAAATTAAAAATATCAATTGATTCCTAAACGATTATAAGAGTTCTTATTTTAATTTTTTAATAGAATATAATTCCTTAACAGATACATCCTCTAGCACAAATAAGCCAAGTTACCCAACCAATGACATTATCTTTCAACACAAAACTGGCTGTTGCCGGTCACATTCACCAATAACTCTGACTCAATAACCTGTAATATCAGGTTTCCGGTTGGTTAACGACTCAATAATTTATCTCCTTCGGTGTTCATCCACATCCGCAGACACCTATATATACTACCACATCCTTCAGGTCTTGGATGTCGGCTTCCCTCGTTAAAGCCTATAGTTTTCTCTCATATTAGCCCGTGATTCCTTTATTATTTACTCTTATGCCATTCTAGGTTATGGTTGCTGTTGTTAACTGCAAACCGCAGAGCCTCAGCTCCTCCCCTGCCATCGGCTTCCCCCGATTCCGCTACTTCCGCTACCGCCGCCTCCGGTGACGAATATCTATTCCTACCTGAATCGGATTTCATTTCTAAGTGTATATAGATTAATAGACTTGTAGATACAAAAATTATAAGATGTCAACGAAGAAGAGCAGCCCGAAAGAACAGGGGAAGAACAAGAAGGGGAGATTATCGGAGAAATCGGTGTCGTTTCACGGCCGTGTTCCTGAAGATATGGTTGGGAAGTTGATTAGGCCAAGGACGGTGCCAAATTTGATCACCGGTAGAGGTGCGATTACGACGGAGGCGATGACGCCTCCGAAGCTGACGAAGTTGTTGCTTAACGTCACGGTTCATCGAAGCTTAGGTCCCGTGCAGGTGTTGATATCTCCGGAATCTACCGTCGGCGACCTTATCGCTGCCGCTCTCCGCCAGTACTCCAAGGAAGGCCGGCGAGTGATATTTCCGTCTCTAGATCCTTCCGGATTTGATCTTCATTACTCGCAATTTAGTCTAGAAAGTAAGTGAAATCCCTCTTCTCTCTCGTTAGATTCACACACTAACAATAAACATTCAGCTAGAATTTGCTGTTTGCATGATGACGTTAATCGACCAAATACGTAGCTAATCTGCTACAAATTCGTAATCGACAGGTTTATCTAGAGACGAGAAGTTAAACGAGTTAGGTTCACGGAATTTCTTCCTTTGTCCTAAGCAACCGGCTACCACTGCCGGAAGTAGCGGTGGTCATGGTGAAGTCGGAGTCAGTTACGTTGGGATGACTACTACATCACCGCCGTCATCGTCCACCTGCTCGACGGAAGCAGATAAAGTGACGAAAGGCGGAGCAGTCTGGCTCAGATTCATGGAATTCATGCTGTAAGATTTGATCATGAATGATTGATTTTTACTACAGTATTTGTAGCTTCAAATTAGTTGGTATTCAAATTTCTGGTTCTAATTCAGTTTCAGATTTTCATCAAAATAAAGATTGATTGATGATTGGGTTTGAAATTGATGTACAGTGGTGGATAATGGATTAGCTTGTATGAGTATACAATCTCAATAATATAATCTTAAAAAAAAAAAAATACACGCAATGTTTAAGTTATAATTTGGAATATATTTATTTGATAATTGATCAAATGGATGGAATCTTTTGTTGGACCTCGGATTGGTCCGATTTAGACCCAATCTTGTCGGGTATTTTGATGATGTTCGTTTTACTGTCACATGATTCCAACGAGTCAATACCGTTGTCACAATCGTTTTGGTTGTTGAAGGCTTTTTTTACCCTTTCACTCAATCTCTTAAGATATAAATAGTACATCAAAAAGCCAAATAACTCAACTCAATCATATCTAAATATAATTCAAAAAGATAAGTACAAACCTTTATGACATAAGTTCAAATGATTGAAAATGCACAAGTCCAACTTGTGAATGAGGTTGTGGAATTGATTTTTTCCATGTTTTTTGTCAAAGTATATTTGCGTTGCGTTAAGGTATGTGCATAGGAGTATAGGACATAATAATCAACTCCTTGACGATAAAGTGACATTCTACCTTGATATGCTTTTTACCATTATGAAACACTGAGTTTATAACTTGATACAGTATGAAATACTGATTGTTGCAGAAAAGTTGAATGTGTGATTAATGAATTTCCCATAATTATATCTTAAAATTAAACCTTTTAAATACAAGTACAACGAGGTTTAAGATACAAATAGAAATAGGGTCGAATACATGGTTGACATAAACTATATACTAACATCCCCCCACACCTTGATCGGGGGTTTGATCGCACATTCAAATTGGATCTAAAATCGAGGAAGAGAGACTATAGAAACCCTTTTTTGAAGATATCAACATACTGGTATGTAGATGGAATATGAAGAACATGAATGTGTTCTAAAACGACTTCATCTTTCACAAAATGTATATCAATATCCACATTTTTGGTTCGTTGATGTTGAACCGGATTGGAAGACAAATAAACGACACCAACATTGTCGTAGTAGACGATGGTTGCTTTAGTTGTGGATGCATGTAGTTCGCAAAGAAGATTGTGTAGCAGATAGGTTCTGGTGACAACATTGGTCATGCCTTTGTACTCGACCTTAGCACTGGATCTGGATATCGATACGTGACGTTTCAAAGACTATGAAAGAAGATTTATGTCAAGAAAAATACAATAACCTGGAATGGATTAACGGGTTGTTAGGAAACCCCTAATCAACATTAAGTATGGAATGATCCCTTAAGATGATGACACATATAGTTGTAAGTTGTGGTTCATCGTGCAACAGACGTAGTACAAAATGCGCTTCAAACCAATGAAATGAGGATCGCATGGGGTCATGCATATAAATACAAATAAGTTGAACTGTATAACTGTGGCGTCAGGACTGGTGAAAGTTAAATACTAAAGGGAACCGGTTAGAATTCAATACAATTAATGTAGGAACATCAGTTGGAGGACCTAAAGTGTCGAATTTGGACTCGGTGTCTACTGGTGTGCGAGAGGGTTTATCGGTAAGCACACATGCATGCTAAAAAAATGTATGTGTCATACTTCTATTGGCTGAAAAAGAGACCGCACTAAGATCGAATATCATAAATTAAATCCCAAGGAATTAGTCGAGTTCCTCAAGGTCAATCATAGTCATAGAGAACTTATGACTGAGGGCCAAAATGATATGTTGACGGCTTGAAGCACATTTAGTGAATATGTTGTGATAATGATTTTCTCGACGTATAGAAATAAGTAGGCCTGAGTATGACCATGTATGTAAATAAAAAGAGGTGAGTCACAATGGTTATGATGAAAGTCAATGCCAGTTGAAAAATCTAAAAATTTGTGAAACCATACACATGGGGCCTACTTGTGGCCAATAAAGCGGTCGTTGGAGGTGACATACATGGTTATGGAATCTAGAGTCTTGAAAACCAAGTAGTTGGTACATATAGATAATCTCTTGGAAGTGACCATGAAGAAAGGAATTCTTCATGTCAAGCTGGTGAAAGATGGTGAGACTAAAAACGATACATACCACTAACGAAAGACCGCGAGACTAAAAACGATACATATAGTATCCGATGTCACAATAGGATTTGTAGCAGGTTAGAGATCCTTCAAAATTCATTCTCTTTTTTAAAATAGTTACATAAAACTAACAATATTGACACCCCCTCTAGTCTAGGAATAAGAAGTTAAGTTTCATTGGAGAAAAGCGTTCTATAATCCTCATTCATGTCCTTGAGCTAGTTAGGATCTTCAAAATTTTGGGAAACAAGTAAAGAGGTAAAAATGTGAAGGTTAAGGCGTTGAATGGGTTTGTAAATACCATGGCATGATCGGGTTTACGTGGGATGACTGGGGAGGTGACATATTTGGATTCATGTTTGAAGTGTAATGTGACATGTAGGAAGTGGGATTGTTTGATATGGGAGTGGGTTGGACCAATTTGGGGGTAGTGTGTCTTGGGTATAGATTAGGGGCAAGGAGTAAGTATAAGTCGAATATGAGTTTGTATGGAAACAGAGGATGTTGGGAGGTGAGGACGTGGGAGGTAGATGAGATAGAGGAAAGTGAGTAGAGGTGGGAGATGGTAGGAAATAGTCAAGGAAATCATACAAGGAAGAGGAGTTAAGGGACATCAAACGAAAAATGAATGTGTACTCATATAAGGTTACATGATGAAAGATGATAATTTTGTTAGTTGATTGGTCAAGATGATAAGTCTGGCTTGCCCTCGGGGCCCACAGCTTATGTATGGCTTGCTCCCTGACCAAATCAGTCATTGGATTGAAATACCATCAAGCCCTCAGTACAAGTCTGGCATACCACTCGGTCCTCAGATCGTATTTGGAATGCTCCTGAGCTCTCAGTATGAGTTTTGCATGCCTTACATGGCTCTCAGCTCATATCTGGTATGCTCCAGGGTTTGTTGGCTACAACACGAATCAGTACAACCTCAACCCACCACAATATGTCGACATATAACAGATAACAACATATACAGATAATCATGCAGACAGAATCACAGGTAGTCCTACAGATCTACCATACTAGCATATCAGAAACTAGCATAATCATGCATATCTATTCCAGACATAGCATATCAGTACATAGAAGGATATCAAACCAATGGGTCGGCCTTGGTACCTTCGACTCGTAAGTACAGTGATGAAAACTCACCTCACAAACTGGACAAAAGCTGATCGGGTCCTGACTCCGAATCTCAGCTCTAACCGTCACCTATCCCAGCAAATGGCCAATCACAATCAAAATCCCAAAATACCCTTAGGTCAAACTTAGTCAAACTTGATCAAATTCAAAGTCAACTCACCTCATGTTATGGCCCGGCATTGGTCACGTCGTGATAATGTACCCGGTCAGATTCCCACTTGAATCGAATCAAACTAGTGAACTCAGTCAAATAAACCACTTGAGCTGGCATCACGACGTGAGCACCCAATCTCACATCGTGAGCTCCAAGGGTTCTAACAAAAGATGGGGGATGCTCCGAATCTCACGTCGTGGGATCTTACATCTCATGTTGTGAGCACTGTCTGAGGCTAAGGGTCGCCATTTTAAGTCCTTATTCCATTAAGTCTTCGAGTATACTTCATACAGAAGTTTAATGGGACCCCTAAGGTCCATAAAAATGTTTCCTTTATGGTCATGCATGCACCAAACATGATCATCCACTTTCTAGGTAAAAAAGGGAAGAAATGAGCTTCAATCTTTCATGTATGCCTCTATTCCATACCATCTTTCAGATCTAAACAATATTATGCTCTAGGGACTCTTCAAATCCATAAAGTTGCCAACTTTATGGATTTACTCTAGTCAAACATGCAATAACATCAATAAGATGGACAAAACTCAAGATCTATCCATGATAAGCAATAAAGTTGGAGTCTTTGATACTTATAAGGGTCCAAAAGCAGGAAAAGATGGTGATGAAGAGGATACTTTGCCTACACCACCACTAGAGCACTTCCTTCTTCTTCTTTTCTTATTCTTCAAGCTAGAAATACACCCAAATGACAAATGATCTTATGGAGGAGTGATATTAAGGTTTTTGGAGGTTTAGAGAGTGAGGGAGGCTGAGGGTGAGAAACACTAGCCCTATTATTCCCTTAAATATCGAAAACTTAGGATTTTTTTGTCATCAGCCACCCTCACATCGTGAACACTAGACTGCTCACGTCGTGAGCCTTAAAATGATGCACGGGTCCAAATCACTTCTCACGACGTGAGAAGGCATTCCTCACATCGTGAGAAGGGCTAATATAGAAACTTTTAACTTCACAATATTAAAGATAATGTGCACCTGATCCGGGTGTTACAATTCTCCCCCACTTGAACCAGACTTCGTCCTCGAAGTCAACTGTTGCGAACAACTCTGGGTAATGCTCCCGCATCTCAGCCTCCGGCTCCCAGGTCCACTCAGAGCCTCTCCGATGCTGTCACTATACCTTTACCAAAGGTATCTCCTTTTTGTGCAGGACCTTCATCTTCCTTTCCAGGATAGCCACCGGTCTCTCAACATAGTTCAGGTGCTCATCGACCTGAATATCATCCATCAGAACCACTATCTCGCTATCCATCACACACTTCCAAAACTGAGAAACATGGAAAGTGGGTTGGATCTGACTGAGATCGCTCGACAAATCCAACATGTAAGCTACCTTGCCAACCCTGGAAATCACCCGAAAAGGTCCACTAAACCGGGGACCCAATTTCCCCGTCTTCTGGAAGATATCATACCCTTCAAGGGTGAGACCTTCAGGAGCACCATATCGCCGACCTGAAATTCCAACTCTGATCGGCGTCGGTCGACATAGCTTCTGCCAACTCTGAGTGGTCTACAGTCTCTGCCTGATCTGTTAGATAAGCTCCGTGGTCTGAAGGACCACTTCGGTCCTTCCCATGACCCTATGACCAACCTCTCCCCAAAAAACCAGGGTACGACAC